TAGGCTACTAGTCCAATGCATGGGGAAAGGTAGATGCTTCTGAATGGGATTCAGAATGATCACCAGGGTTATCAGGGAGTTAGTTAAAATCAGCATAGTGTGCAGCTGACTTAAGTAACTTACAGGAAATGCCAGAGACACCCACCCCTTTTTGGAGCTCAGCTGTCTCTGTAGAGCTGTGTAAAAGTGCTTCTGTCCATTTAGGATCCATTGAGCCAAACTAAGGACAAGGCTCACACTTTCCTTTTTAACACAGCTGGATGGGAAGGCAGCAGTGGTGGTGAGGTTACCTGCTTTTATATGTTGCCCAGTGATAAGATAATTCACCCAAAAAATGGAAGACCCAGCTTCCATACTGCACCTTCCACCTTACAGGAGAGTGCATCAGACTGGATCATAGGGTTGGAAGGAACCTCATGAGGTCATCTATTCTAGTTCAGGTCAGGCAGGATCATCTGTGACTAAATCATCCCAGCCAAGTATCTAACCTGTTCCAGGGATGGAGATTCCACAACTTCTATAGGTAGCCTGTTCCAGTGTTTAACCATCCTCACAGTCAGAAAATTCTTCCTGCTATCTAATCTAAAATTCCTCTGCTGCAGTCTGAGGCCATGGCTTCAAATCTTGTACCCTATAGCCACGAAGAAAATTTCATCATCATTCTCTTTCAATATCTTCAGGTATTTGAAGCCTTATCAAATCCCCACCTCAGTCTCCTCTTCTCCAGACTAAATAAACCCAGTTGTTTCAGCCTTTCCCTATAAGTTGTGTTTTCCAGGCCTCCCATCATTTTTGTTGTGCCCCATTGAACTCTAATTTGTCCACATATGTCTTGAAGTGAGGGGCCCAAAATTGGACACAGTACTTCATTTATGGCCTCACCGGTGCTGAATAGAATGGGGGAAGAATCACTTCCCTTGATTTGCAACTGACACTCCTGTTAATGCAACCCAGTATGCTCCTATGTTTTGGGATTTTTTTTTTGGAACAAGAGCACACTGTTGCCACATATTCACCTTATAGTCCACTGTGATCTGCAGGTCCTTCTCTGCACTACTGCAACCTAGCCAGTCATTCCCCAGTCTGTATTTTTGCATGCAATTATGCAAGGGCAGGACTGCATTTCTCCTTGTTGAATCTTATCTGATTGATTGCAGACTATTTCTCTAATTTTTCACAGTCACTCTGGATCCTAACACCAATGTGCAGAGTGTCTGCAACTCACCCAATGTGGTTTCATCTATAAATTTGCTAAGTGTGCATTCAATCCCATTGTCCATATCATTAATGAAGATGTTAAACAGTACCAAACCCAGGACACACCCCTGGGAAACCCCTTGATACTTTCTCTGGATTAGACATTGAGTCATTGATGGCTACTTGTTGAGCATGATGATCCATCTAGTTTTGTATCTACAGCGTACTTACAGTAGTTTTATCTAATCTGCATTTACTTAGCTTATTAACAAGAACATTGTGGGAGTGTGCAATGTCAAAAACTTTGCTAAAGTGAAGGTATTATGGATCAACTTCTCTCCCCCCACCCAAACCCCTCCTCCCAATCCACAGAGCCTGTCACATTGTTATAGATGGAAATTAGATTGGTCAGGCATGACTTGCTCTTGGTGAATTCACGCTAGTTGTTCCCGACCACTTTGTTCTCTACCAGATGGTCCAAAATAGATTCCTTGATTATCTGTTTCATGATATTTCCAGGTATTGATATCAGACTGTAATTTGCTGTATCCTCCTTTCTCCCTTTCTTACAGATGCCCTTTTCCAATCTGACAGGACCACACCTGATCTCCACAGGTTCTCAAAGATGACAGGCAACAGCTTTGAAATTACCTCAGCCAATTCCTTCAGAACTCTAGTCTAGGTTATATTCTGTCTGGTCCTACTGGGCATTTATACACATGCTCCAGGATTTGGGAGGAGGGGAGGGAGCACTTTAATTAGAGTGGGTCTGAGAACTGCTCTAATTAAAGCTCCTGGAACGTCACGTGTATCAGTGTCCCTGGGCTGAAAAATGGTGGTGGGGGCGCTTTAATTAAAGCTTGTCAAACAAGCTTTAGTTAAAGCGCCCTGCTGCCATTTTTTAGTGCAGGGAAGCTGATACACGTGATGGAGTCTGTTGGAGTGCAGTAATTACCACACTCCAGCAGACCCAATTAATTGAGTCTGTTCCAATGCTCTGTGATTACAGTGCATTGGAGCAGCCTCGCTGCATGTGTATAGGCATCCACTGACTTTAAAGCATCTAACTTCTGTAAGTAATCCTAAACCCATTTTTCCATTAGGCAAATGTTTCCTGGTAACTGGTAGCTGATTTGTGAAGATAGAGGTAAAAAAGGTATTCAATACTTCAGTCTTCATTGCATCTTCCAGACTGCCTTCTTTATTCAACAAGGGACCTACACTTTCATTGCTCTTCCTCTGACTTTTATGTCATACTTGCCAGGTACTATTTTGTATTTTACAGTATACCATCTTTGATTAAAATACAGAGCCAGAGTCACACCTGAGAGGAGGGACCTGAACGCAGAACTCTCCCTTCTTAGATAATTGCCTTAAACATTAGATTAGTCATGCTCCCTTTCTCTCACTCGCTTTCTCTGTGGACCAATGGACCTTGAACTCTTTTTCTGCAAGGCTCAGATTCAGTGGGAGGGGTGAAGGGTGTTCTTACCAATGCTAATCTGCAGTTTGGCGGTGAGGCATTTTGCTGGGAGATGGGAGGAGTGCACTGGAATCCCCCCCAGGCTGAAGAGGAAACTGAACCTAGGTTTGAATTCTGGGGTATTTTATCTTTTACCTTTCTTGTATACTCCCTGCAAACACTACGTATGAATGTAGAATCACTCATTCTATTGCTGTGAACTGCATAGGTCTCAGGCACACTGCAGATGTCTAACTGACTGGTTTGACTATCCAGTCAAGAGTACCGCCATATTCAATAGAAAGCAATGATTTATTTTTCAAATACCTGCTGAGTTACATTTAGTGAAATCCTAAGGAAAAGCTGAAATGCTGAACACTTATATGCAGCTTTCTGTACCCTGATGATGTTGGATTGATATTACACTTATGTATGTGGATTTGTTGCCAGTTTTTGCTTAGCAAACATATTTTTCCTTGTGTGTTATAGTTTTGAAGAAATGGGATTCAACTAATATAAAGCTAAAAATGTGACAGAAAAGATATAAAATTATTCCCAGCTAGACTGTAAACACATGACATTTTTACAGAAATGTTGTCAAAAATTACATGGTACAAGGTTGTTTCTTTTCCATTGTTTGTTTTTCCAAGTGTCTACTTGTCAAATGCGTTTGCTATGTGTCTAGAACAGGAGTTTTTCTGTTCTTTATTGTGAATCGCTTGAATTTTATCTCTGGTTGCTTTGACTCTTCATGGAAACAACTGAAACTGCATTTGTTTCAAGTACTCTTTAAAGAAAAGAGTAAGTCACACATTACAGTTCCACTCCAGAAAAACAGAATTTTAACTTACAAAAATACCCTTACTGGTAGATAGTAGGAAAGGAATTAATACTTTGTTTCCATTTGCTGCCCTTCTGAAGTTTCAGGTTTTCTTTATCTTATTACAGATAGTACCAAGTCATGTCATCCTTCATCAATTCCTACCATCCTCAGCCTACAGCCCAATTCTGCCATCAGATGTTTTGTGCAATTTGTTTCAAGAGCCATGGTGTTGCCAAAGGTATAATGCTAACACCTGTCCATGAATTCAGTGAATTTACAATTAATGGGGAGAAAGTATTCCCAAATGGCCCATCAGAAAAACATAATATATGTCAGAGGAGCTGCTGGGGAAAATGGTAGTGTCTTGTTTCACTAGTAGCAGTGAATACAATAGTTACAAATCTCTCTTTTATCTCATCTCCTCAAACTCACAAATTCCACACACTGGCAGCCCTGTTGAAGCACTCAGCTATCCACCTGCCAACTCTCAGAGAATCCCCAAGAGGCTGTATTTTTTACAAGGTTATTAATTATTTGTTACTCACTAAATGCTCATTATTTCCATCTGGCATTGTGACAAATAGTAAAATCAACATTTCTAATAGCTAGTATGTAAAGATCATTTTTCTATTTGCCAACTTTCTGAAATTCACCCTAATACAAAATCCCTACTAACCTGCTGCCTCCAATCTTGTATAGGTCCTTTGTATTAAAGCAAATTTTGCCTTATGTGTGCCCACCCTGACATACACCACATAACTTCAATACAACTTTGTGAGGCTATACTTTTGGCCAGCATTTTGCCTGCCTATACACTGTCACATATTGGCACCACTCAAATTGACCTAGAGAGGGAGAAACACACATCTTAGCTCACATGCCCCAGTTGTGCTCCATCCATGGCCCACTTTATCTTCAAATGAGAAGGGACGGTTTTAAATTGAGATTTCCATATCTCAGCAGAAAGCATAGATTTCCAAGCATCAAACCATCAGTTGGTCTCCTCTGTGCCAGGACAAACTGGTATGGAGTAGTCTAAGTGAGAAAAAAATGAATTGGCTAGCAAAAGGGCATGTGACAGTGAGTAAAATGATGATTGACACCAAATATTTCATTCTGAAAAAGGGGGGAATTTGTGACTGAATTGTGGTATTTTTTTTAAGGAACTCTACTTTGCATCATTAATATTCTCAGAGTTTGGGGACAGGTTAAACAAAGCTTTTTTTCTAAAAACCTGTAAAGAACATTGAGCATAGTAATGACTTAGATCATTTTTAGTTCTCTGCTTAATTTAACAAAAAGTATTATGAATAGATGTATACATGCTTAGTTATTTCCCTAGGTTTCTATTCTCCTTGCCTCATGTATATGTGATGCCTATAAATGTCAGTAGAAGTTGAGGGAGTCTAAGGGAGAGATAATAGACCCTCTAGTTCTTAAACACTTTGTATACATTTGCTATGAGAAATGATATTACACAGTTAAGTATAATTGATCCACCATTTTTACAGTGTAGAACTCTACATTTTATTCTGTAAGGCAACATGAAATAGAATGAATGAATAACATTTCAAAGCTGTCAGACTTGGATGACCAAAAGAAATACCTAAATCCACATTCAGGATAACAAACCAGAAGTAAAACAATCGAAAATGGCCATTTAGAAATCAAACTGACATTTAAATAACTATTACAGGGACTTAGGCACCAACATTTGAAAGCTGAGCCCACAAATTTTTATGCTTCATACAAATTTATGAATAAAACCTCTTTAAAAATGATTGTTTTGCTTTTCAAGAGCTCTGATACTAGGATTAAATTAGTTTATAGTGATCTGCTTCTGCACTTCCTTGCTTCATCAAGCAGCCTGGCTGGTACATTAGATCTACGACATATACTTGAGGAGGAAGCAGAAGTCCAGTTATTCCTTGAGGGGAGTCGTCAACTAATTTAACTTCATTCCAAGCTCTGGTGTACTCTCCACGAACTAAAGTACAGCCAGCCCCAATCCTGTCTGCTATTACCTATTAAAGTAAACAAAAAGGAATAATGAAAATGATCACTAGCTGCTGAAAAGTATCACGATATATTTAGTCTCTGAAATGCACAGTTGGGTCAAGGAAATAAGTAAAAGAAGAAAATAAATGAAAGATGAGCTTTTCTGAAAGAAACTTTATAATGGATATTTTCTAGATGCCTTGCAAGATCCTGCAACCGTCAGATCTTTCCTGTAGTTCTTTCAAGGATTTTTTTTGCATTTTTTCCACCATATTCTACCAGAGCAGCAGTGACATACAACAATTAGAATTCTTTTCAGAAACTGACACATTCTTGTGTTGTCAGCCACTTGACTAGATTTCAAATGAAACTTGGCACATGTGATGCCACAGTTTTTCCAATATTTTCTAAATGTATTGGAGGACATGTTTTTGACCTAAAGCATTTAATTTTTTTTTCTCCCCCTTTCCCAACCTACAGACTTAACGTGAAAGACTTTACGGTGTTGTATTATGAAGGTCTGATGATTAGCACGGGCATTAGGATTGCTACATATCTCAGAAGCATGCTTCTTGTTCTTCAGACCTGCTAATGTGTCACAAACTACTGACAAACAACTGGAAATCAGAACACTTATAGTTTGTTGTGCACAGAACTGTGATTAGCATATTAACTTTTAAGTATGAACCTTGTTTCTCAGGATTCTTCCTTGCTTTCCTGTACTTTTGTAATTTGTTGCAGGCTGGCAAGGATGTCTTTCCTTGGTTCACTTAGGAAATGGCTCTGGGGAGAGAATCCCTCACTGAGTTTTTATGGGGCATCATAGTGAGGGAAATTTTAGCAAGGAGGGGAATTTACAAGGCTGTCCCTAATACATTTATTAATTTATTCCTTCATACCCAAACCAAATAATTTAGGCTCTTTCATCTCCTCCCCACTGCCAATACAATTAGCTTAGGATGGCCATACTTCTCTGCAGAGCTCCACTGTGCTGTTTCCTAGGAAGTCCTTCCTACTGCTACTCAGATCCCTACTCCAGGCCCTTGTTCTGTCTTCCCCTCTCTTCCTAGGATCATAGGAAGTGAGCCCACCAGCCCAAAAAACACAGATTTTTTTTTCCAGAAGGGGAAGGAGAAGTTTAAAAGGGGCAAGTTGCATTACTGTATTTTTCACTTGTGGGTGAGAGAAAGACAGAATGGAACCTTTCACCCTATGAACAGATCAGATACCCAGTGCCTGCTCCCATTCCTCCTTCCCTGCTCCTATGGATACTATAGCACCCCTTCTGCACTTCACCATCGTTCTGTACAAACATTCTGTTGGCTCCTGGGCTCACTCTCTGCGATGTTCTGTCTGTAGCCTGAAGGAGAAGGAAGAGAGGATGTTCGTGTTTGCAGCTACCTATTGGAGGAATGTGTCCTTTTATGTCCCATATCCCCACTGGCTACCGAATCCTCTAAGCCCTCCATCTCAACACATGCATGTGGGATACAGCAGGATAGAGAGGCAGAAAGGATACCACTTCCAGAAATATTTTTGAGAGTGCTACTCAGGAGTCATCCCAAATGACTATTAGTAAAATCTTTCTGACATGTTATTATTTTGTGTCATTAACCTATTGCTAAAGGAGATCAAAGAAAACAAATCCACTGCTTCTGAAGTATTTCAGAGCATGGGCTCTCAGTCAGAGGCCACAGATACCTTGACCCTTCCCATACTGTTTAGTTAGGGGGACACCAACTCAATGGAAGAAAGGATGCACGTGAGAAAGGTTGAGAACCAGCTTAGAGACATTTAAAAGTGCTAATGGCTGATTTCTTATATCCCGTCTCCAGTAGAGCCAGGTTCTTTTAGAAATCTTTAAAACTGCACTATTATGTACAAAAGGTAATGTTAGGTAATTTTTAGAATCCAAAATTCCAGGCCTGAAGCAAGTGCTGTGTCATTTATTGGAAACTGGAATTCCCAGGTCCCAGTGGGATAAAACTCCCATTTCTAGCTGCACAGGAAAGCAAAAGATCTGGGGACTGGGTACAGAAAATGCTTTTCCTGAATGCTGGAGAGCCCACCCCAATGATGCCCTCTACATGGGCCCAGGCCACATGCATTTGTAAAGAGATACTGTTTGGCTCCCCTGGCATGGGGGTGGTAATAAGGGGCAGAGGCTGCAGAGGCTTCTTCATCCCACTGTTCACCTAAGGAACATCACAACACAACTTGAGCCTTTGGACTATTCTTTGTTTTCAGGATTTGAACTTAAACTGTCCTGTGGTAGTAGCTAAACAAAACTGAATCTTTAAATATTAGAAAAACTATTGATGTTTAGCAACTTCTGCTGTTTCTTATAGTTTAAACGAGCTTATCTGCACAATTTGATACTTTATTATTAGCATGTGACATATTTATTTCTCTAGTCTCTTATCTCATATTTGAAATAATTATTTGCCTAGCAGCACACAACATTCATAAGTCTCCTGTGACACCTGTACTCTGTGAATGAAAGATATTGTGACCTATCACAGTACTGCACACAAGCACCATGTAGAAATGACTTTCCTAATAGTTTTATTTTTGAAATGGGAATTGTATTGTGCAGTGCTCTGTAGCTTATGACAAAAATAACATATTATGGCTTTTGCCATGTGTGAAGTATTCTGCCGATATCACTTAAGGCAATGTCAATCTTGCTTATAAAAACAAGGATGTTTACAGAAAGAAGCCATGCTGGCACTCATTCAATAGGATATCAATGTTTGCCAAATTTAAAATTACTTAAATATATACACAACTAAAATGCTGAGACAGATAAATGCTACAAGGTTGTATCAAAACTGAAATTACAGTACAGTAGCTATCTCATTAAGAAAAATATTGTAACACAGGATATTTTTAGAAGTGATAAAGATATGTTCAACTACCTTGAAAAGTAAAGCCCTGTGGTAGAAGGTTCCTTTCTTGATTTTTCCGATAGGTATGACATTGCATTTCTGTTCAAATTTTATTTCGCTTATATGAAGTTCCCAGCTGAATTCATGTAATTTGTCTTTTTCAATAGGACCACCCATATTGCCTGCAACGAACCTGTTTTAATTTACACCAAGATCAATTAAATGTATTTTTTCTTTTCTATTTATCAAGCTTAAAGGTAAGGTTTCATATATACAAAAATATTTGTATAACATAAAAAACTTTATTGCTTTGGTTATATATGGTGTTATTTTTAGTGTTCAGTAACTTTATGTATACTCACCACTAAGGAAATTAAAGTGATAATTCAGATCATTCTGATATGTAATAATTCGAAGCAGAAGTGACTGCAGCATAGCACTGAAATATCCAGATTAGCTTTAAAAAAGCTAGCTTTGGTATTGGTATCAATCTAGCCACAGCAAAGAGCAGGTTAATTTACCCTGAGAAGCATTTCTGTGACTTCTGTGTAGATATTTCCTTAGTACAATATATGAACAGAGACAGAGGTTAAATGAAACAAACAAAAGGTGGGGACAGTTTCACACAGTAGCAGTTTAGTATAATCAAAGGTAGTCAAAACATACCATACATCTAGCCACTGTCAAGTGTTTTACAGGCATCAGAGCAAAGTGAGTTTTAATAATAAGGTGGAATTTGAAGGAGGATATTATAATGCCTTTATAGATTTTTATGTAAAGCACCTTCTCATGAACAGAGGAGTGCAGGAGAAGTTTACTAAAAATTCTGAACTATTACTGGTAACTTACAAGGATTCGAGAGTGATATAAACAAAAATTTAAGCAGCTGTGGAATAACATGCTTCATGCAGAGAAATACAAACATTTTGAGATGGAGAGTGGGCTCACTCAAAGATGCATGAGTGTAAGGGGGCTCGCTCTTGTATCTTTGAACCAGGAGAGAAGGCTATTGTCTTCCTGCCTCTAAAGACAGACAAGCTGCAAGCGGCTTGGGCAGGTCCCCATATCATCCAGGACAAGTTGGATAACATGACTTATGTGGTGGCCATGAATGGGTCAGGCAAAAGGCCTAAGGTGCTACATGTGAACATACTTAAACCCTACTATGACAGAAGTGATGTCATATTTTGGATTTCCTCTGTCAAGGAATCACCTGAGGACCAAGAGAAGCTCCTCTATCCCTGCCTCTCCATCCTATATGCTGACTGGGACGGAGAGGCAGGGATAGAGGAGATTCTTCTGCCTGATCATCTGCCCTCCCAGGACAAAGACAAGCTGCGCACAGCTTGCTGATGTGCTAGAGTTGGGGGCAATACAGCCTTCGACGAGTCCCTGGGCCAGCCTGGTGGTACTCATCTGGAAGCAGGATGGGACCATCTGGTTCTGTGTGGACTACAGGAAGCTGAATGCTATCGCTACCCCCGATGCTCACCCTATACCCAGGATGGACTCTCTGCCTGACACCCTGGGCCAAGCCAAGTTCATCTCTACTCTCAATCTATCTAAAAGGTTCTGGCAGATGGCACTGGATCCAGATGCAATAGCCAAGTCTGCCTTTACCATGCCTTTGGGACTGTTTGAGTTCATGGTCCTACCTTTTGGTATGCACAATTCTCCTACTTTATTTCAGAAACTGATTAATAACTTGCTGCAAGGATGAGAGCAGTTTGCAGTGCCCTATATTGATGACATCACCATTTTCAGTCAGGACTTTGAATCACACCTGATTCATCTAACCACTGTGCTGGAAAAGATTAAAGAGGCTGGACTAACTGTGAAAGCAAAGAAATGCCAGTTGACATTACCTGAAGTGGTGTATTTGGGACACTGTGTGGGTAGAGGCATGATCGCTCTGATGTGGGATAAGATCGATACCATTAGAAACTGGCCTCCCCCACAAACTAAGAAGCAGGTCAGAGCCTTCCTTGATCTGGCCAGATACTACAGGAGGTTTGTTCCCTCCTTTGGTACTACCACTGCTCCCTTGCATGAGCTGACAAAAAAGGACAACTCTAATCAGGTAGTCTGGGATCAGGAGTGTCAAGAAGCATTTGAGACCTTGAAGGCTGCCCTGATCAAACGGCTGATTTAGAGAGCACCGGACTATAATAAACCCTTCTGCATGGCCACTAATGCCTCGACACTGGACTTCGAGCAGTACTCCTGCAGGAGCACGAAGGGACACAACACCCTTTGGCTTACTTAAGCCGGAAGTTAATTCCCTGCGAGTGGAACCTGTCATCTATTCAGAAGGAGTGTTTGGCAATCGTCTGGGTGCTGAACAAGTTGAGGTTCTATCTGTGGGGACAGCAGTTCACGGTCCTGTCAAACCATGCCCCACTCCAATGGCTGTAGAAAACACAGAACACCAATGCCAAGCTTCAAAGAGGGGCATAGAAGCTTCAAGAGTTCACCGTGACAGTGGAACATATCAAGTGAAGCCAGAAGGGGGTAGTGAATTCATTGTCCACAAAAGACTATGGGTAACAGGCCAGAAGACACCAGACCATCCCAATGTGCCCCGGCTCTTGGACAGCTCAAATCTTCCTGATCTTCCTGATATGCATTGTTGTTATAGCCTGTTTTATGTGTTATGTAGGTTTTTTGTAGGTATGGACAATAACCTTTCTGGACCAAACACTCCAGTGCCCACAGCTCTGTCAGGCAATGGTCACAGGCTTTTTAAAGGAGTGGGGGAGGTGTGAAGAAATCACCCTCTTTGTCTGCCTCCTTGCTCTGAGTCTGCCCAGCCCCCTCTGTTCCAAACTCTGGCTGCTGGATCCACCTGGTCACCTTGGTGGTACCATTGGGAGGGGGGAACTTGCTTTCCCTTTTGTCTTGTGTTTCCCACTGAACAACCCTGTGTAACCCTAATCCATCTCATCTGAGGATGCTGACGATTGTTAAAAGGATTGGTCTGCATCATGTAGCCCTTGTTTGTGGTTGGAACTTAGTGATGCGGTCACAAAAGCTTTAAAAGGGAGCCACTTTATGTTGGAGAGGTCAGACATTTTGGGACACTAATACAAGCAATCAGCCTCCAGAATTCCATCAGTCTCTGGATGAACATGCGAGTAACTTACCTGAAATTTAGCCAGTAACTTAAGATTCGGTGAACTAGATGTATATCAAAAGGACCAACAAGCCTATTCTGTTTTGCTCAAATGGGTTTTCTATCAATTTTCTGTTGTTTTGTATTCCTTCCTCACTCTCTCCCCTTCTGATCAATAAAGTTATCTATTGTAGCATGCCTCACTGTGTATGTGCTTCAGAGAGGTGAGGCAAGCTTTTTTAGCTCCTTTTTGCTTGGCTGGCTAAGCTAAGTGTGGCTTTTTACTTTCCTCCCACACAGGAGGTTACTTGTGAATGCTTCAGGCTAAAAGGAAGCACCCTGAAATTCCATGGTGGCCTAAGCACCCTAAGGTCTACAGGGTCTATGTACCCCAGGCTGCACAAAGCCCTAACAAAGACCCAGGCCCAGGTGGTGGCAGCGGTTATCCCAAGCTTGTGGATTGTGGTTTTTGGTCAGGCATAGTGAGGTGGGCAGCTCAATGCAGGAGTGCCCCCTACTGTCCAACCACAGAGAGAACTTCAGCTCCAACTAGCTGAAAGCTGCTTTGGAGTTTGCCAAACATTTAACACCATCCTGGTGACAATCACTGAGCTAGAATCTATCTGGTCCCAGGTGAGGGCAGCAGGGGCATGACCACAACCTTCTGTGCCCTCCTCTTTTCACTGTCTTTCCCCTCCATGCTCCTGGTCTGTACCTGATAGGGCAAGCACAGCCTTCAGAAACACTAAGGCTGCTTTGCTGGGGTCTCACATACTGGCAATCAGAGCCACCTGCCTTTGCATCCCTTCCCATTGGCCTTTAGGGCATTGGACACACCCACCCACCTGCAGCAGAGTGTGCTAATCAGAGCATGGGCGCAGCTGAAACAGCAGCTGCCAGGAGACAGGGTGGAGCAGCAGCAAGAGTCCCCAGGGGAGCAGCTGCAGATGCCATTTCTCTGTGAAACACAGGGATGAGCACAGGATGCCAGACAGGGAAGGAGAGGGTTTACCTTGCACAGAGGCCAGGTGTTTTAGCACCCTTAAAAGGATTTCATGGCACCCCAGGGTGCTCTTAGACCCCAGTTGAGAATGAATGGTTTCAAGCAGTGGTGCTCAACCTTTTTAGAACTGAGGCACCTCTCTTAGCCCCAGAGCAGGTCTTGTTAAATTCAAGGCACTCAAAAATTGTTTTTTAACTAAGGAAAAATAACAGAGCATTTTTCTTGCTGCAAAGACCACCATAGGTCAGAATGTTTTTAATACTGTAGATTCCTATTTGAAATGTTTGGGTTTATCTTGTAAATCATTTGCACACCTGACATGTTTGCACACATAATAGGTACCCTGTATCACCCTTGAAAGGATCACATGGCACAGCACCCTGGTTGAGAATCACTGCTTTAAAGGATGGCCCACTCCCACAATAGCTGCACTCCTTAGGGTACCTGGAGGCATTCTGCCTAAGCTGGTAGAATACTTCTGGGCTCTCCTATAGCTGCTTCCCCTTATCATCCTCAACACACACACACACACACACACACACACTGCAGGCTGTGGCTTAAAAGGGAACATACAAAGTAAACCCCATGCAGAAGGCTTTTCACTTACGTTTTTCCTTTTGCTTCATCAGGTTAATGATAATAAGGCAATACCTCTGTGTGTCTGAGACATGGCCTTGAGTTGGCACCCTGCTTTGCACCAGCTGAATACTCATGGTATGAAGACAAGTTTTATCAAATTTTGTAGTTGTCTGGAATGTTACTCCTCAGGCTGCACACTGGGTGAGCTGCAGACCTCTTGGTCTGCACAGCTCTGCCCCCAGGGACAGAAGCAGAAAGCAGAGGCCGGGGAAGGGAGGGGGAGCCTAGTGACCCCAGTGATAGGGGCAGGGGCAGGGGCAGCAGAAGAGATGTGGGGGAGCAGTGCCTGGACAAGAGCCTAAAGGCCACGAGTTAACCCTTCACAGGCTTCATGTGGTCTGCAGGCCACCAGAAGCCACCAGTTGCACAGCTCTGTATTATACCAGCACAGAATCGCTGACAGCCTCTGTCCCAAACAGCTTGCAAACTAAACATACAGGATAGGAAAAAAGAGCATAACATGCAGGCAGAGTGAACAATATGATGGTAGCAAGCATCATTTTAGTTCAACAATTTTTAGGGAGGGATATGTTGCATTTAATAATGAGCGAATAAGCCAAAAGGATCACCTGAGTTCATGAGATGCAGATAGAAGTAAGATACCACTTTCAGACTCTCTGCACAGGAACTACTGGTGAGAATACCACAGAGGAAACAATAGAAAGCACAGCTCAGAGACATACCCCACAGATCAAATGGCAGGAGTCACATGGCCCTAGAAACAGAGGTTCCATAATCACCATACTGAAGAGGGAGAAGAAGGTGGTGGTTTTTGGGGACCCCCTCCTGGGGGGGATGCAGGCACCCAAATGTTATCCAACTCTGGAATTTTGGGAGGTGTGCGGCATGCTCATCTGGGTAACACAGTAAAGAGTGATTAAAACTAGGTTCTATAGGACATGGCAGAGAAAACCTACTCACTTTAATGCATTCAATACCAAGACAGAAGAGACCTAATTCTGAAGAATGGCTAAATAATCTCCAGAGAAGGAAAAAAAAAGAAGAAAAAGGGAAATCAGTATGGTAGGCTGCAAGGTATCTTTGATGCATACATACAAATGCATATGGTGAACAAGCAAGATAAATTCAAGTCATAGTACATACATATTTCCCAAGAGAGGGAGATATGTGGAGCACAGAGATAGAGGCCAAGCCAAAATACACATGGATCAGTGAAAAGGCTCCTGCTTTGGAAGGGAGAGGACTCTTAATTCCAATGGGGCAGGGACTTCCCATGTGCACTACTCTCTATCCAGGTTATCTAATGAATAGTAAATGCAAAGTACAATGGCTCAGCTTCTAAAGGAGCCCTGGATGAAGGACTGGATAGCTCTTAATCTGTGATACAGTGGCTAGCACTGTGGTAAGAAGTTAAAGAGATACAGAGAGATGGCTTGGGGGCAAGGAAGAGAGGGGGCTTGGGCTAAGACATGGAAGGGCACTCCTCCTCCACCAAAGGAGTGTGCATAGCTGGATATTTGCCTGAACACTTCGTAGCCAACTGCACAGTCTCAGTATGTGTATGCATGTTTACCCATACTACAGGGGTAAGGTAATAGAATCACAAGCTGTACTGGGCCAAAACGCCATTATACTGTTGGAAAACTGCTAATTAGGTGCATAAAGAGCAACTAAATTTCACCCAAAATGTCAAGTAAGTTCCTAATATGTGCAGAAGACAATTCTCTGTTCCCCAAAGTTGATAATACAACTAGGAGGTTATATATCTTGGATCTTGTTCTGACCAATAAAGAAGAATTATTACAAAGGAAACTTGTGAGGAAGTGAATGTAGAATTCATGATCCTAAGGAACAGAAGATTAGCAAAATAAGGACACTGGATTTCAAAAGGGCAGACTTCAAATAATTCAGAGAGACAGTAGGTAAGATCCAATTGGTAGACAGACTGAAGAGATCCAGGACACTTGGCAATTCCTAAAGGATGCAGTATCGGAGACTCGTCAAGAAGTCTTCCAACATGGTAAAAAGATAAGAACCACCACAGATACTGATGTGGCTACACAAGGAGCTTCTTAGCTAAGTCCAAAGAGACATGTACAGTTAAAGGAAGAAAAGGCAAGTACACCAAAAAATGGCAAGAACTTGCAGAGACAAAATCAGGAAACCAAAGGTGAAAAATAACGTAACTGATAAGGGATGTTCAAGACAACACAAGAACACGTCAGACTAAAAGGCAGATAAGGAAAACTGTAGTAAATGGTCAGGTCAGATACATTTCGCATTTAAAAAAATAAACAAACACTCAAAATTGTTAAAATGTCTCCTTCCACCACTTTATATAAAAATTGCATTTTTCATAAATGGCTTCATGTTTTGAAATACGGGTTATTTGCTGTAAAAATGTAAATAAAAGGGTTGAAATATTTTCAGAATACTAAACTATAATGCTTTGCATTGTAAGTCCATGCCATTTTTTAAACTTTTGTCCTTTGTTCCATCTTGGAATGGGAAAACTTTCAAATTCTCAAAAATGTTCCTGGGTCGGAGCACTATTCCCCACTCAGCTTCATTTGTATTTTCTTTTTTTTAAACATGATACAGTACTTACTGTGCAAGTGCTACAACTTGTTCCTTGGTAGTTGCTAGTGGTAGAATTGTTTTGGAAGCATCATTAATGTAATCCAGTAGAATGAAGTCAAATGGTGGTAGCCACGGTAACTTTTCAAGAGTTACTTCCTCCTGGATTTTAGGTGCAATTTGGAATTCTTCTTCTTCTTTTGGTTTTTCTTCTTCTTTTTTTCCTTTCCCTTTCCTTAAAAAATAAAATACATAGTTATTTTGAAATCTCTCTCTCAAAAGTTCAAATTCTAGCTGCATGATTTTGTATTGGGACATATCAGGGAACCCCAGATCAGAGGGAATTAGGAAACGCCAATTCTGAATCCACAGAAAGTAGTTAGGGAAAGTGCTTTGATGTTTAGGAACCACATGGCATTGTCTGCATGTCTGTGCTCAAAACCCCCTGACTAGACAGCTTCTATTTACCCAATGTCTCCCCCTGCCAAGCATTATTTATACCACTTGGTAGTCTGCAGTGGGAGACTCAGCCAATGTAAATAAAGGCATTAACAATGAGAGGGTTTTGCAGAGTACTTATAAACTTTTTTTCATATACTATACTAATATTTAAAAACAATGAAATTGCTATAAAGTTTTCACTTGGAAGAAGTCTGAGACGTCAAACAAACAATCAGGGAATCAACCAAATGGCTTAACTAGTATTAAGCAAGCTACTTTAAACTTTGGCTACCATACGACATGTACCATTACGTTTGTAAGAAACCAAAGAATTTGCTATTTTTTCTCTTTCTTCTTCATTGGTGCTCATAAGTTAAGAAATGCACATAACCAGGGATGACAATCATAGAAGTCTAGCAAAAATGTAAAGATCTTTAAGTTTAGGCCTGAAAATGAAACAACCATAGAAACTGATATATTGCTGGAAGTATCATCCAAAGATATTTCAGAAAGAGGAGCACACATTTCATACCTTTACAGGCAGCGTGAGCACATCAGAAGCCTCCTAAATCATCACAAAGGCTAAGTCATTGAACATAGTATAGATTACAAAATTCCAAGCACCATATATATGGTGTCAAAATCTGTCTCTGCTGCTAAATACTCTACAATAGTTTATTAATAGGAACATACAGAGGTCACAAGTTGTAAGAGTCATGCCTTTCTTCAAAGAATTTGAGATTCACAATGCACAAATCAAGTTTGTAACTCAGCAATTGGTTATTCATAATTCAACTTGAATCAGAAGCAGGCAGCACTGAAATCTGACAAAAAAAATCCAGTTGCCCCCGTCTTTAAAAGTTCTGGTGCATTTTGTAAATTTCCAGTATTTCTGGTATTCTTGGAGAAATAAAGAGAAGTCCACTGGAAACCAAACATCAGAGATTTTCACCCAGTGATTCCTGCATCAAGTCCATCACTTTGTGGTAAGGGTGTGAGAAGGCAGCTAATTTCCTACTGAAACACCCAGCTCTGCCTCCATCTTTACAGATCTTTATTCTTTGACCATCTTCTATGAAAGGAGTAAAATAATTCTGCAAAATATTTCCTTAAAAGTGGTAGCATAGCAGACATATGCACTCAAAGTCTACATCAAAGACTCCTTTTGTTTCAAATGTGCAATTGATCACACTGTATTGATCAAAACTGATGTTGAATATATGTCTCTGACTACCAGTCAGCCAGGCGTTTCCTCTATCACTCAAAGATTTTCAGCAAGCAATGTTAGTTGCACTTCCTCTTAAGTCACTTTATAACACTAGCACATCTTTAAAATTGTCCTGTTTTAAAGTGTGCTCAGTGTACTTTGTAAAAGAATCATCAGAAGATAGATATGAGAGACTCTAAGCACGTTTAAGACTTGATTCAGCTGCTTGCTTCCAACTGAATCCCACATGCTGCACAAATTAAAAACAATATGGATTCAGAATGAATGACACTGGGGTTATAAAGCAAAATCCCTGATCACAACTTTCAAAATTATATAATCACTTTGTTCTTGACTGCACGAAAACTTGTATCTGAACAAATTTACCCTGGGCAGGCTGAAGCGTTTTTCATGTTTTGTTTCAAAATGTTTTGTTTCAAAAGCAGATACGGTTGTTATTGAAGCAGTGATCTGCTGCGTTACTAATAAAACCTGTACACTTAAAATCTAAGAAATAATTAGCCAAGGGCACCTTAAAACTTACACTAACCTCATGATAAACAAACACTTTATTTTTGCTGAGCCAGATCCCAAGCTCTGTTTTAGCATCTTTGAATTGCTTTACACAATGCAAAGGGGACAGAAAGTTTCTCTAATAGGGCCTCTGGGGATTCCCTGGACACAGTGGAGTCCCCAACTGGCACAGAACCAGCACACCCATTTCTATGTCATTTTTATCCTTCCTCTTCCCCTTGATTAAAGGAGCAGCTGGGATGAATGATATGGGTTCTGGCCACTTTATGGTGTGCTCCAGTGATCCCAAACTAAACAGCAGCTCTCAGTATCAGTGAGGGCACTACCAAGTAGATATACAAAGTTTCCACAGCCAGCCCATAGTGTCCAGAACTGGCTACCTATATGGAAAAATTTAGAGCAATATTTTTATACTGTAGGGAGTAAAAATGCTCTACATCTGTACTTATTGGTTGTATAAGACAGACCATGCCTTCCTTTTCTGAGAACAGATACTACAATAAGAAAAACTGAATTCCCAGCAGGTGCTTATAAATTAAGCTCATCTTTAACATATTTTTCAGGGAAGTTGTCCACAGAACCAGCAATAGTACAACTTCTTTATTTCTATGTTCTGCTAGTTTCATTAAGAGAAATACTGGCTGATTAAGTGTCTTCTAAAGGATAATCCATCCAGGGAACAGGGAAGTCCAGAGGAGTTTGAAGTATACCCCATGCCAAAGGGCTCCCTTCCCCCACTCTCCTTAAGGCATATAGTTCTGCACAGCCTCGAAAACAAGTCTGATCTGTAAACTAGCTCATGCTACATTTTCTCACTATGATTCCTACTTTCAAAGCTCCACATTTCCTTCTCTGATTTGCATTTGAAGTTAAGTATGTTGTAGCTGTCAAGCATTTAAAGCTCAGGTAATGAGTTTGGTAGTATGGAAGGGCCATAAAGCCAAGTTGCTGCGGGCCAGCTGATGACTCCCCTAGCATGGGGGAATCCCCAAACAGAGTCACCCTACTACCTACCCTTTAACAAGGGGCTTTCCTGAGGACCTGCTGAAACCTGGCGAGTCTTGGCTACTGAAGCAGTTGAGGAAACTGGCTGTAGAGCTAGACACAAATGGCTGCAGTCCTACGTTGTGCCAAGGAAGCTACACTAGCCTGCTAAAGTCATTGGGACAGGGATGCTCAACCCCAGCCCCTGGGCCAGATCTGACCTAGGGAGTCATGTGATCCACTTTGTGGGGCTCCCCAAGGGTCTGGAAATTTGGTTTGGGGGAGCAGTGGCAGGTAACATTGCTGCCGCTCCCCCACCATCAAATTTCCAAGTGCCACTCTGGCACACATGAGGCCAAGGCAGCAGATCTCGTCCAGTGTACATGGACCTGGGGCCAGGGCCAGGGCAGCAGGTCTGATCCAGCAAACATGGGGCCTGGGCTGGAGTGATCCAGTATATGCAGGGGCAGGGTAGCAGGTTCAATCTGGCGCGCATGGGGCCAGGTCTTGGGTGGCAGGCTGATCTGACATGGGGCTGAGGATGTGGCCACACCCACACCCAGGACACATCCTGTGGGACTGGGGTGTGATCCAGCATGTGTTGGATCAGGCCAACAACTAGATCTAACCCATAGACTTACCCCACAGCACTCATCCAGCCTGTGGGGCCAAAAGGTTGGGCACCATTGTCTTAGGATCAAGGGAAGCCAACATATTATATAGTCACCTTTGACCATCCCCTTGTGCCTTGCACCAAGAGAAGTTCTGTCAGACCTGAGAGTCCTATTAACAGTCCGTAGCTGTTATCTAGCAATAATTTGCATTTAAGCTATAAATTAAAATAAAATACTTCATCCAAATTATAATACCTGGATCCTTTCTCTCTAGTGCTGCCTTTGCTGAGTGAAGAAGGTCGTCCAGAAGATTCTTGTTTTTCGTCCACAGGAGATACCACTGCACTATTGAAATTATAAGGTAATTTCCCATTGTTCACTTTCTTTTTATGTTCTTAGAGCAAAATTTTCAGTTTACACACACAAACACATAATCCCTCTTATAAGTCACCAAATTCTCCAGCCATAAAATGTATGCAGAGAAGGAGGGTGCATGATTTCTGGATAAGCCCTAAGCAAAAACTGGAGATGGTTCCCCTGTCTCTGCCATTTTCCCAGGTTGTCTTTTCCCTGACAGTCTCCACTCACCAAAACATCTATTTCTATATGTTCTCACATCCACAACCTGCTTTGGCAGTTATCTATGGAAGTGCTTTGGTTATGCTACATTCCTATTTCTGTGCAGGAGCTGATTTAGTGGGGTGCAATGGTGCAGTTGCACCTCTTCTTTGATTCCTGCTCCATCCAAACTTTAAAACCAACTGCCCAGGAGAGGCAGTAGCATTCAGACAGTGTTGAGGAAGTCTACTGATTTCATGGCTCATTATAATACACACCTGGTTCCTGCTAATCTCTCTTCACTCCACAGGTGTTAATGACCCTCTCCCCTTTCTAACTGTCTTGATATTCCATTAATCAAGTTATCCTTTCTTCTACAATTTTGCTGCCTGTTAGCTATTCCTGGTAATTTCTCTCTTCTGTTTCACAGCCCTGCAGACTGTTTTTAATTCTATCCAAAAACCTTAACTCAGGTGTGGTAATATTAACTCAGGTGAACATTAACTCAGGTATGGAAATGATTGACAGTGAAGTTCTGGATGCACAGAAAAGATGTTCAAGAAGGATAGATTTTCTTTTATAAATATGAATAACAGATGTACATTTAGCTACAATGACAACAGGTCTAATAAAACAATATCCTTTAGACTATTTTTGCTTTGTTTGTTGTGTTTTTCAAGTTTAATATATAATCTAGCAGATTGATGCACATTCTAATAAAGTTATATTTGTTTTTACTTTGATTTTAAAATGAATAATATAGTACTGGGCCCCTAACATATTAGTAAAGCTTCTAGTTTCTCTTTAGCTGGAGAAAAACATATGGTATTACATGTGATGAGGCACCACACCACTTGCACCCTTCTTTTCAAAATCCTAAATCCTCCTATGCTCCTTCACATGTAGAACATCTTACGTAACCACCAAGCACATCAACATTAGCAGGTAAGCAGATGCAGATACATCTGATCCCTGGGAAGCAGGTAGATTCAGCTACCAAATTGCTTCCCTTAGTGTCTTTATAGGAATCATGGGGAGGAGGGGTTTTAATTACAGCAATTTTTGGGAGCTGTTCTAATTAAAATGTCCACAGCATCTTGTGTATTCAGCATCCCACACTTCAACATGGTGGCAGAGGCGCTTTAACTAAAGCTCATTCAACAAGCTTTAGTTAAAGTGCCCCTGGCACCATTTTGAAATGTGGGGACGCTGAATATACATGGCAGAGAGTCTGCTCCAACACATTTTAATTAGAACGTGTTGGAGCAGCCATCCCGCACATGTATAGGCATCCATGGTTTTTCTCTTTCTCCTGCCCAAC